TCAAAACACAAAATTTCCCGATTTCTCTTTAGACCTTTTTAAAGAGCTTAAAAAAACAAATAATTTAGTATATAAAAGTATTTTTGTTCGATTATTAGTAACAGTGACGTAGCCAGAATTTCAAAATAGGGGGGGTCGACCGACCGGGCCCAGGTAGAAGAAGGGGGGGGGGTCCGGGAAAAATTTGAAAATATAGGCCCTAAAACGGTATTTTTTAGCTCTCCTGGCATTGAAAATAATCAAACCCAACGTCAATCCAGTATTATTATATAATTTTACGTTTAATTTAACAAAAAAATATTATATTTTGGATCGGAAGGGGGGGGTCCGGACCCCCAGGACCCCCCCCCTGGCTACGTCACTGTTAGTAACGGAGAAAATTAAAAAAATTGTAAATTTAAAATTCCCATGTTATTCTTATGGAGAATATTGTCAAATGTTGTAGTTTGCTTGTTTATGGATATATTTTGATCAAACTTGGCAAATTTATTTATTTTGTACTAAGCTATCAATATTTTACTCAAAAACACACTTTATTAGTTTCCTTGTAGCAGCAAACCTAAGTACTCGTTAAACCTAATGTTATTAAAATATATTTAACTGAAAATCAATTCAGACAAATGGAAATTCGCTTAGTCGGCAGGTTTGCTGCAGCGGGGGTATTTTCTCTAATATTTCATTTGACTTATATAGTTTTAATATATACAATGTATTAGTTTAGTCATAAGACAGATTACCCTTGAAAGTCTAGAACTTATGTAATCGATATGAGGTCCCTAAGAAAGAGTCTTATCCAGATAAATACCAAGAAATTTAACATTGCCTACATAGCCATCCAACATATTTTATTCACACGGTTTAAGGCCAAAAACTATTTTTTGAGTTTTATCTTTATTTAGGTATAACAATAAATAAAACATACCCCTTGGTAGATTTCTCATCCTTATGGAACAGCTGAAGATAATTTTATATTTTGTTGGTTCTGTCCGGTGCACTATAGAGGTTGTGTTTTGTTTACAATTTGTTTCTTGTTATTTCAGTTATTTAAAACCTTGTTTAACCAAATAAAACTATATAATCATAAACAATAACTCGTATCCTAGTTATATATTAACCAAACAGTAAAGCATGATTTGTACATTAACCTTAAAATAGAAACAAAATGTTGTCGCCCAGTGTCACAGGACATGAACTAGACACGAAAAACAAGCTTAAAAATTTACAATGGGATGAGAAGTCTAACTTAGTGGGAAAACGCAAAATGTTCTGGAACTTAAGTGAATGTACACACCTCTAACACCACCATTGATGTTGTGTGATGACAACACCTCTTTACATGTATTTATCTATCTACTGCTGTATCAACCCAAGAAGCATTAAGTTTAATGTTAATTCAGCTGTGTCTTTAATCATTATTTTAATTTGTTGTGTGATCTTCACTTCGGTCTATTACTAAGTGACCATGAATGGTTTGGTCATGTTCTGGTACAATCCTAACTCGATGATGCTGAAACGAAAATTCACTAATCAATTCAGTAGCTGCTAGGTATTCTTGGTTTACTTCCCTTTCATCAGGTGCAGACCTCTCTAAAATGCACTGCCAATACAATCTGTCCCCTAATATTAGAACGTAGTCAATGTCACTTGGCTCCCATGTGTCCGGATCTGTTAGGTAGAGTGCTACACACGCTACTGCTGATATAGCAGTGCATTGCTTGCCTGCTGTGTCCGACTTAAATCTGCTATTGGATTGATTGAACGTTCCTCTAAGTATGGATACATTTTCATCTATAACTTTAAACTTGTCTTTGATGTGATTTCGCTCTTCTGGAACAATGTTTGTGTTGTCAGACATCCTTATAACTTCTGATATATCAAGGTCTAATATGTTACTAAAGTTAGGTTTAACATCCTTATACATTATGTTGTGACTAAGTAACCAATAAAGGGCAGTCCGTATATTTCCAATGTCTATTTGCAACTCTTTGTGGTGTTCAAGGTTTTCTTTTTTTTCTACCAAAACTATTATGCCTGCTTGGGAAAGGCTTAGAGGAAGCTGATCTGCAATCTCAACTACATCTTGAGCAAACAAAACCACCTGCCCCTTACACCACTTTTGGCTCAACCAATTTTTCAGCTTAATTATTTTCATAAAAGGTACCATACGTGATAGCAACCTTTGTTCAACTTCAGATAGATTTTGCAGTGCTGGTGGCTGAGGAATGACTTTCATTCTGTTCCAAAAGGCTTGGGACGGTACTTTATTCCTTTTTAATGCAGAGGAACACCGATTACAGGAAACTATTGTGTCCGGCATTTCGATATCTCTAGGAAAGAGACTTAGTTTTTCACTAGCCCTTATGTTGTGTACAACTCTTTGTTTAGGATACAGCATTTTTTGGCAAATCTCACATGGGGTGTCAGCAAACTGATTGATTTTTGACGTAAAATCTAGTGCACGAGATCTTTGAGTGTCACGTCGTTTCTTTGCCAGTCTTTCTGTTCTTGCAAAATTATTTTCTTTTTTGGCTCGTTCATATTTATATTTCCTCATTCCTTCAATTCTTTTACAGTATTGATCTGGAGATTCTTCTTCTAATCGCTGACGTTTCGCGCGCATCCTATGGTCTCTTTCTTCAACTGTTTCACTATTCAGTCTTTTTCTTATCAGACCTAAGCGGCGCTCTCTGTTTTCTGTCGATTCGTTATCCAGCCTTTGTCTTATTATGCCTAGGCGATTTGCTCTTTCTTGTGGCGGTTCATTTTTCAGACGTGACCTAATTGTATTATATCTATGTTCTTTTTTCTCTTGAGTTTCATTTTTTCTTCTTATACATTCTCTGGTTTTCATTTCAATTAGTCTTCTTTTTCTTTCTTCACTTGTATCTCTTTCCCGAATTTCAAATATACGATCTGCATTCTTTTTTAACCGAATTGTTCTTTCTACCTCTGTTTCAGTTTTACGGTACTTTTTCATACGTAATGATCCTTTTGTACCCCTCACCATTGCTTAATCAACTTTACACTTTCAACTTTATATTTTATCAACACCATAAAATTAACATCTTAAAAAGAAAAGTATAGTTTATAATTGGAAACATTACTCGTACAATCCACTTATTTCACACTGTTTATAATAGACAATGTTTAACAACAAACATTAATAGATTTTAAAGTTTTATTTTGACAACTCCAATTCAACACCTGTTTTACCAAAACATTAAAATGTTCATTTTTATAACCATTGATTATGTAACCTAATCAAGCAGTTTTAAAATAATAATAATTGTTCTGTGATGTTTTTGATCGCTGTAAACAATTTTTATAAAAAAAATTAAATAAATAAAATATAACAAATTATAGTCACTAAAAATCATGAAATAATTTATTTTTGTGAAAAAAAAACAACCGACTTCAAACGCTCTAAAAAGAATGAAATAATTTTAGTATAGTCAACTTTTGTAGTATTCAAGCTCACGTATTTCAAGTCGGCGCGGCTCTATAATGATTTTTGGTACAACGTACTTCAATTTAAGAGGATGTCCACAACGCAGGTAACTCTATAACTATTGGTGCTAATCTCCATGTTTTTTTCAGTACTGCGTTGAGTGTTAATTTATCATTGTGACCCATCATCTGATACCTTCATATAGTTTTTTTTTTTTTTTTTTTTTTCAAGTAAGATAATAACTATTATCTTATAGTACTATTAACGAGTATCTTTTAAAAAGTGATAGTGCATTTAAATGTTTTTAATTGGGAAATGTAACGTTTATATAATTAACTAGCTTCTCTTCCCTGTCAATATCAAAATATTATTGTTTTCAATTAATATAGAAAATGTTAGAGTTAGTTTCATGATGCATCCATTCGGAAGTAATTTTAAGCATTTCCACAATAAGCATAGGTACATAAATTAACAATTTTTCAAATATTAAAATAAACTCCCTATCTTATTTTATTCGGATTTTCTGTGTGAGAGCCCCGTCGACTTGAAATACGTGAGCTTGAATACTACAAAAGTTGACTATACTAAAATTATTTCATTCTTTTTAGAGCGTTTGAAGTTGGTTGTTTTTTTTTTACAAAAATAAATTATGTTTATCATAGTTTTGTTTATTGTAATTAAGTCAATGGTTCTGAAAACACTGCCACTACAATCACCGACTGAAAAATACAAGTGTAGGTCATCAACATACTTAAATCATGTGATAATTAAAGTAAATGAAAACTGAGCTTGTCATTAATTAATTTATGTAAAGAGTAAAAAGCAGAGCCTCCATAACTGACCTCTTGGGCACACCCATAGCAACCCCTTCCCAATCAAATCTTATGCTTTCAACAGCATTTAAAATCCCTACGGTGCTTAGCTTTCACAGAAAGAGTTTGTGATTTACACATTTAGAGCCTTTAGAAATATCAAGAAGAGTATGGTATTACCTTGCCAATATTTTAGAGCCAGTCTAATGTCATTCGTCAGATATTGCAAGTGCTAATCTGTATTGTGAGCAGTTCAAAGCCAGATTTACGATTGTCAAAATTATTGTTTTCTGACAAAAACTCAAAACAATTTTGCAAACATTTAAAATTTTACAGTCCACGATACTTAAACATCAATAGCTTAAGACACAAATTTAATTTAGAAAAAGGAAAAAAGGGGAAAATCGTTACAAGAAGCTATAATTGGGATCAGAGAGAAAACCATTCCCGACAGATGTTTTGAAAATGTGGTGGTGATAGAAGTATAAAGAGAATATCTCTAAAAACCAGAGTAGAAATGCCATGAGATCAAAGTCTGAAAGTGAACAGAAGATATCATTTTTTTAAGTTGATTGATGCATGGACCAATGACCATGTATTTACCATCAATCACATCAATTGATTCAATAATATATCGGAAAAAATAACATAACATTTTGTATGGTTACGAACTAGCCACACTGCATTATCAAACTTTTGGGAATATTTATACTTGCTACACAAATCTTGAAAACACTTACCTTTCTAACAGCGCTGATTTTCTGGTTCTCTGCATACGATCCAATAGCCTCTACACCCTTGAGAAACGTAACATAATCATTCCATATGCTGTAAGACTGAATGTCCATTCCAATCTTTTCCAGAGCAAAATCATAAGCTTGAGCCATCTTCTCTCTAGAATACACTTGTAAATAAAAACTCTAGATTTTGGAAATGTAATTTTCTTGTCTTACATGCTGCATTAAAAGCTTTCTATGAATCCAAAATAACCTCAAGAAAATCCTTATATTTATTTAACAATCTAACAGATAGTAATATAGCAAAAGGCTATATTTTTAGCTTGAAAATGCATAAATAGCATCATCATTCTTAGTTACTCTCATGCAAAATATGCATACAGTACCAGCATTGTCTCTTTTGCATACTGACCACGTTGCAAGGCACGGGTATTTATAAGTTGCAAGGCTAGTACTGTAGTTTATAAAATTCAAAAGCATTATGATAATATGGTATTACATGTTGTGTTGTTGCTGTTAGCGAATTTCCCTATAGGGAAGTAGCTATTACCGTAGGTGGCACGATAAGACCAAGGCCCAGGACCGATTTACTTTTTCATTTTGATGTCCCCAGAGGCAAAAAACACTATTCGTTCAAATTTGTATAAATTGTAATAACATAATAGAGTTATATAGGTGTCCATTAACGTGATAACGAGTATTTTTTGTCCGATTTTGATGAAATTTGGTTTAAAGGTGCAAGGTGAGATTAAACTTGAATGAATTCGCAAACCAGCATGATCGGACCGTGGGAACGGGGTTTTACAGGGGGGGGGGGGGGTTATGGATTAAACATTGGTTTTTTTTCATTGAACCTCAATACACAAAATTTTCCTCTTTATATAGAGCTTAAAAAACAAATAATTTAGTATATCAACGTGTTTTGGTACGGTTAAGGTAATAGAGAAAAATAAATTTAATTTAAAATTCCCATGTTATTTTTATGGAGAATATTGTAAAATGTTGTAAGTTTGCTTGTTTATGGATATATTTTGATTAAACTTGGCAAATTTATTTATTTTACATTGAGCTATTAATATTTTACTATTGTCGGGACCACGCAAGTTTGCAGTTGGTGGCAGCCAATCACAAGACAAGGCTAGTGCGACGTTGCCACATCGCCCATTGACAACACTAATTAAAATATAAAAACAATATTTTCAAATCAGCTGGTATTATTAGATTTGGCAATACCGCACCGTTCTCATTGGTTCATTCAAAACCATATGGTAAATAGGCTCCTCCCTCAACTGCAAACTTATGTGGTCCCGACTATAAAAACCACACTTTATTAGTTTTGTTGTAGCAGCAAACCTAACTACTTGTTAAACCTAATGTTATTTAAATAGATTTAATTGAAAATCAATTCAGACAAATGGAAATTCGCTTAGTCGGTAGGTTTGCTGCGGCGGGGGTATTTTTTAAATCACATGGTTGTATAGGGCCAACATTAATGTTTTAACCCTCGAGGGGGCGCTTGAGAAGTTAAGCCGCGTTTACACTGGAGTTAAGAACACGTGTTTCCTAATGTTCCTAAAAACCAAGAAACACTACTTTTTAAACAGAAAAATTTTTGATGTTGGAAACTGTTTTATAGTGTTTACAACAGAAATTTTGTTTCCCACCAGAAGTCGGTTAAGATTACCACACCACATTTCTAGATTTCCCAAATCAATGTTTACACCCGCCACCATAAAGCAAAGACCCGGTTGCGTAAAGGGTGCGCCCAAACGCTCTCCGATGTTCATTATTAAAGAAGGAGACTAGGACTAGAGGCATTGAATATGTAACACTACAAGAAGCGAAATCCCAATTCTATCAAGGGTGACTATTGTGGCTCATAGAGTAAGCCTACTCAGAGATTATCTCAGGCTTCGCCAACACTTAACTGGAATACAACTGGAGGTATAACACTGACACAGCAACTCAGCTACAAAATCGTCCCAACTAGAGGAATCCACTATCTCATTGGCCCATGGCTGGATTACAATCCCACAATCCCCTATTCCTACCAGCCTGCCCCTAGCTCCAATGTATTAAGTAAAATATACTCTACCTCTAGTACATACTAGAAGATACGGCAGCCAACGTCTCTCATTCAGTGCTACCTCCAGTTGCATCTCTAGCTCAGTTTCACCAGCACAAGCAATACAAAATGTTGAGCTAATCTTTGGTTTGTCATAGAAGCGATGCAAGAATTATGTAACGCCTCGGAATCGGCAAAAATTAGTAGTGTAGACGTTATAAATTTACTCTGCATTTTGACAACCTTACTATATTGAGATCAAATTTTGAAAATAGGTAGAGAGCTTGGAAATAATCCCTCCATACAAAGAGTAAGTTATAGTTTTATAATTAATATTTGGATGGTTATGTTTATTAATATTTAGATAGTTAATTTTGGGTAAAAACTGGAAATGAGACATGAAAAAGTTAATCAACTACTAACATTGTTTTTTTTTTTTTTTTTTTTTTTTTTTTGTCAGAGAAGTTTTATCCGTGATAAATTTGTAGATAATTAAATATATTTTACTGTTTGTATTCAACTTTTTTTCTATCGAGCTTAGTTTTGTCAAAATTTCAGGTTGAACAGAGCGGCAAATCTTCATTTGAAGGGTTCGGAGGGTGCTAGCCACCATCGGCTGTCGTAGCATCGCATTTGCATGCCTAATTACTGTAAGTTGACTGAATTATTCCAAGCAGGAGGTTTCTTTTAATTTTCCTTATTGCTATTAGTTTCGTAGCAACTATTGGTTTAAATACAGTCAAAGAAAATCTTTGTTATTGAAAAAAGAACCTGCATTTATAAAGCAGGGGTACAGTTTCTTAACTGGGCTATGCTAATATCGATTGAAATCGGGAACCAGGATATATATGCTTAAATATATATGCTAATATCGGGGAAATCGGGCGGAAGTTTTTCTTGAATTATTCTCCCAAGTGGAGGTGTTTAGGGATAATCTAAGCAAAACTACGACGAAAAACAAATTTAAACTATAAAATAATCAAACGTATTTCTCATTAATGTTTTTCATGACAAGGAATAATATTGGACAACAAAACAGACAGCTGATAGTAAAAAAAACATTCATATCATCTGTATGACTATTACAAATAAATACAGAAGAAAAGGCAGGCATTTTCAACAGGCTTCAGTTGGTTCTTTGCCTGGTTTTAGGAGTGCGACTACATGAGACTTCCTCCAGATTTTCGGAACCTTCATTGTTGCCATACGTGTGTTCATCATTTTCAATATCCAGTTGAGGGTTTCTGGCCCGAAACGTTTTATTTGCTCTGTTCTTATATCATCCAGTCCTGCAGCTTTATTTTCTTTTATTAGGCTAAGAGCTGTTCTCAGTTCCTCAATAGTAAAAGACCTCTCTAAAGAGCTTTCCGTTTCCTCATTCTTCAATCGCTCCAATTTGTGTTTTTTGACCCTACGTTTTGGTTTTCCATTCATAAGTAATTGGTGAGCTATTTGGTTTGGGGTCACTTGGCTATAGTCTGGTTTTTTTTTGTGTTGGGTCGTTACTAAGGTTTTTTATCAACTTCCAGGCTCTCCTACTGTTTAATTTCATATCCAGGTCAGAGAGAAGCCTGGACCACTTCTCCTTCCTTCCCTCGCTCAAGCAGCGCAGAAGTTCTTCACCCTGTTCAATAGTTTCTGCTGAGAAAGGATCTTTATCAAAGTTGTTATTGTAATTTTCAAGGAGATCTTTCGCTTGGGGGGTGAGGCCACTGACATACTGGGTTCGGCATTCCCTAGGAATGAATTTTCTTGAGGCATTTTTTACCAGTACAACAAATTTTTCATAATTTTCAGGACAAGGGTTCAACCGTTTCACATCTGAATCAAGTTTTTGAGAGAAACTTTGCCACTTTGCCTTTTTTTAATTAAATCTTCTCTTGAATGGAACAATCTCTGGTTGAATGGTTGAACGACTTTAGTGATTGTGCATATTACAGGTTTGTGCTGTGTCTTAAGTATCGGGGGGCCCACTGATTTAACTGTGTTCTTTGTCACGTTTTAACTTACAAAAATGTTATCTGGGTTGTAGCCTCTTTGCCACCGACCGCTATTGAAAGACGCAGGTAGCTTTGGGTCATGAATGAGTGCGAGTCCTTCACTATCCGTCCATCTCTCCAGTAACTCCCCATTTTCGTCAGTTGCATTATATCCCCAATTTGTACTGTGAAAGTTAAAGTCTCCAAGTACAACTCTCACATTTTTATTTCTGTAGTTACATGGGGGGTCAAAACTATAAGCAGCTCCTGGTGGTTTATACACAGATGTTACGGTACATAACGATAGTTTGATGGTTAAAATCTCTATATCATTCGTATCTGTCAGGTTCATTGACTTGATAGTGATGTCCAGAGAAGCGAAGATAGCGCTTCCGTATTGTGCATGAGGTCTTTCAATGACAAGTTTCATTCCTTCAATACTAGTCTTCTGTCTGTAATCCCTCGATGGGTCTCTTGCATGACTAAAATATCGCCAATATTTATTTAGTCATGGCCAATAGTTTCAAAAAGGTGACCAATTAGAATTTTCATACTAAAATGTCAAAAAAATTCCAAAATTACCCATTCGTTTAAGAGTTTATTTAATTAAAATGTCGAAGATATCAAGATGTCCAAGAACAAAACAAAACAAAAATAACAGCACTCTTCTATTTTATCATATTTTATTTCAACGTATTATTTATCTAAAAACGTGGTACTTAAGACAAACCAAGAAATCAACACTTCAGAGGTCCCACATTATTTCCCTCACCAACGAGGTTCTAAACACAAAATTAAAGTAACAACATTTATGAGGTTCCGCATTATTTCCATCAAAAACGAGGTCCTAAACACAAATTAAAAGGAACAACATTTCCGAGGTCCAGGATTATTTCTCACAAAAACGAGGTTCTAAGCACAAAACAAAATACCAACGCAACCGAGGTCCCACATTATTTCTCCCACCAACGAGGTCCTAAACACAAATTAAAAGTAACAACTCAACTGAGGTCCCCCATTATTTCACTGCCTAACGAGGTCTTAAACACACATCAAAATTCCATCAAATCCGATGTCCCACAAAATTTTATAAATGAAATCTTTTGACCTTAC